TTGGAGATCCGACGTTTACACTTGGACTAGAGAATCTTCTTTCTATCGTGCTAGCTAGCTAGCTACCCAAAACAAATTAAGATTGTAACAATACGAAATCTTTTATTTATGAATGGAAAGTTTGTGTTAACTAGTGGTTTGGAAAAGAGTTCAACTTGATTCTCTTCTCCTGGTTCACTTTACTTGGACCAACCAACAAACAAGTCCATTGTCACATACTACCAGGATGGCTGCTGACAAGACAACTACCCATAGGGCTGGCAATTTGGTCTAAGACTGTTTGGTTTTACCCGAAACCGAACTGTATAACCCGGACCGGGACCGGACTGGGACCGGATAGTAAACAATACAATCTCGTATTCGGACTTAGATTTGAGGTAAAAAAAACTCAGATAAAGACCGGATAAATGACCCCAACACTCAAATCCCCACAAGCTCAATCTACAATCAAAATCAAATTGGGACCGGACCGGATCAAGACCGGAGTGTATCCAATCTAATCTTTGGTCCTTATATTCCCGAAAAGACCGGACTGGGACCCGATCAATTTGGTCCAATTTAACCGGACCGGACCGTATAGCCACGCCTAACTACTCTAATAGCGTGACACCAAAAATTTACGTGCTTATAGCCTCATGGGCAGTAGTGATTAATTTCACTACGTTTGTAGGAGAATAGGAATTGTCGAAGTTCAAAACGGTTTATATAGCGACATTTTCTTACCCCTGAACGAAAAAGGATTGGGTCAAACTAGAAAATATAAGTGTAAAGCTCACATTTCATTTGGATTAGCGGTCACGCACTCCCATGACTCCTCATCATATGTCAAATAAACATATTCAGTGCATTAAAAACATTGGTTTTTTCGATTTGATCTCCAATACGGTTGTACCAACATCTATGGTAACATTTTGCATAAAAAAATGTTTGAATAATAATAGGGTCATTGTTTTTAGAAAGACCTGTGATACGTCGTCCATCGATATGTTTGCATTCAACAAGTTTACTACAATCCAATACACAGTTATCTCCCGGTTGACTCCATTGCTTTGTCGAATTTTCTCTCAGCTTGATAGTAAGGAAAGTGAATCGTACTTTTTCTTCTTCCGTATTAAAGTAATTTATGGAGAAGATATAGTTACCTTTTTAAACTCATTGTTATAGTTACACTTTTGGAGTCTAGGGAATCCCCTTTGGTCCCTGGAGCTGGAGGAGTGGAGGGCTAGAACAATAATGCTTATTATCATCATTCAACCAACTCAAATAAGAAAATTTACATAAACAAACGTAAATTTGGTCTAGTTAACATTGATGCCACTGTAGGGCTGGGAAACGGTGCGGTCTGGTCCAGACCAGACCATATATACGGTCTATGGTCCAGACCGAGAGGCTAAAGTATAGATCTCGCGCAGATCAGATCACAGACTATATGGTTTGGTCCAGACCACGCCTGTGTGGTTTGGTTCGGTCTGGTCTGGTCCAGATAGACCACACTCAACGAAAAATGAATAATTTATTTAGTCAACCACACAAAAAATTCAACCAATAACCAAGAAAAATAATTGTTATTTGCCTTAAAACATTAATCCTAACACGCATGAATAATTTTGATACTCCAAATCTAGTACATAACAAAGATATAAAGTAAAAGCATCTCAACTTGCACCATAACGTCATAAACATTAACACAATGTCATATGGAGGCACGATTATCTCTACTCTCTAGTTAAATGTGGTTGTGATGAACGAGGGACGAGATTCATAAAACTAAGGTTGAGACTTGGGTGTCGTTGTGGGAGTTGGGAGAGTGGTCGAATGGTCAATTGGGTCCACGGTTTGGTCCGGTAAACCGCGCGCGGTCTAGACCAGACCAGACCAAGAGATCAAAACATAAAATAATACAGACCATGGACCAGACCAGACTTAACGGTCTACGGTCCATACCAAACTGTGCGGTACGATTTGGATCACAGTTTTTCTTACGGTCTGGTCTATTTTCCCAGCCCTAAATGCCACCATTTTAAAAATAAATAAAAACTTCCATCAGGGTCTTTGAATCAATGGATATGCTTGGTGGGAAATGCGTAATTGTCTTTGGTAAATTGTGGGCTGAAATTCCGGTTTGCTGTGTCTCGGTACTTAGCACCCGCGGGGAAATCCCGCAACGACTTCACTTTCCGAGCCAGCCGCCAGGGGAAAAAACGCCTGTGGTTTTTATGAGCTCTGAACAAAGACAATATATATATATATAGCTTCACCTTCACGTCCTACGCGCCGTCAGTTGAGGCAGAGCGCCAGGATCTGACGGCCGGCCGGGAAACGTTTTTCCATGGTCACGTGACCATGTTTAAACTGGGGCCTACCGCCGTTGAATGTCAACCGTCCATGCAATTGCGTCCCAAGCGTTTATGATTATACGTCGAAGACGAGACGAAGACGAAGAGGCCAATTTCATTATGTAAGGTCACGTTTGGCGGTCACTAATATGGTTGTTACATACGTTGAAGAGAAAGAAAAATAACGTGGTTGGTGTTTATGGATGACAATCAAACCCTTAATTCTGATTTGTAAGTATCTTATTGCGTCAATGCCGGGAATCTTTATATTGATTGAATATGAGATCGGTATGGGTAAAAACACTAAAAAAAACTAATGGAAATAGGTCGTGTATGATTTTATCATTTTAACCTCCCACGCTCTATACTCATACCTGTCTCACCATGATTATTTCTTTATATATTAAAAATATAGAGACCAAATCACATTGTGATCCCTCAATGGATGCAAAAACAATTAAAAAAATAGAAATAACATTGAGAGTGACCACCCAAAACCAAACACTAATTTCCCCCTTCAATTCTCCATTCACTCTTCACTTCTTTCCCCTTTGTTTCTAAATTATTGGTTAGTAGTGAATATCTACCTCAATTTGCTTAAAACTATTCCAGATAAATACGTATAAGTAAATAATACGTATTCGTGACAATGATAAAAGAAATCCTTCCAAGTACGTTTTGCTAAAACTGAATGCCACTTTTATACCGATTCTCTATAACAACGTTTATGATGTCTTAAAATATCGATGAAATCATACATTAGTGGTACAAATGCTTTTTATTATGATATTATAATGAAAATTTTTACTGAAATTTTCAATTATACTTTGAATCTTTAGTCTCGTTGAATTGATGAATCACATGGTTTTCATAATACATTGTGTTAACCTTGATGTATTTTTGAATATATGTTAGAAACTATTTTAAGACCTTTTACTTTGCATTTGGGATTTGGTAGGGGGTTTTGTTTAAACATTAATTTTCTTGTGATAGTGATGGGACTAAGCACCAGACCAAACGGGTCTCTTGAATGCTTATGCAATTTTGTTCCATTAATCTAATTCTAAATGTGTTGGAAATTGGAGTGTGCCTAAATCGGACAAGATCATATATCAATGAATTATTATTGGCAACTAACAAAAAACTAATATTATTTGTAACTTTGGAATGGGATTAGGTGCTAACCTTTATAGGGGTTAGCACCGTGATAACTAGTAAAAAACGCTACTAAAAATAACGAAATCACTACGGATTATTATAAAATCAATACAACATCTAAGCTAAATCACTACTAATTCAAACTAGTAGTAGTTTTTCCCTTGATTAGGACGGTGCTAACTATTGTACAATTAGCACCGTAGCCTTTCCCTGTAACTTTACATTGGTTGGTTTGGGTCTTAGGGTTAGCTTCCCTTTTAATAATACACACTTTTGTCCATATAAGGAGGGATTTACTATCAAATTAAGTACACAGGAAAAAATTAAAAGACATTAAATTGTGAAACCTACATATAATGAAAGCTAAAATCAATACTAATAAACTACCATAAGATTCTGATTGACGGCAAGATGAAGTTTAGCCTTTTCTTTCCATGCGTCATAAATTAGTGGACAAAGACGTGATCTTATTGTTTCTACTAATCAAGAGTAACAATTTTCAACAAGTGATACACGAGTAGAGGTGGCAAATGGATTGGATTGATGGATCCATGGATCAAATGGATTGGATCTAATGGATTGGTGGATTAATGGATTGGATCAAGTGGATTGATGGATTATTCATGAATCCAAATGATATCCTCAACCAAGGACCAATATGTAAAATGTAAAAAGTTTAGGTACTAAAATGTCATAATGAAAAATTTTAGGTACCAAAACGTAATTTTCCAATGATATTTTTGTATAAAAAATTAAATTTTAGGTACCAAAATGTAAAAAATAAAAATTATAGGTACTAAACCGTAATTTGCCAATGATCCATGGATCCAATCCATGAATCCACCAATCCAATTGGATTTGGATTACATGGATTGGATTTAAATGGATTGGATTATGTGGATATTTTTAATGGATTGATTGATTGGATTGGTGAATTGGATTGAAATTGCCACATCTATACACGAGTTACTAGTCTAAAATACGCATTTAAGAGATCTGTTATGTGAATGCCATAAATAGAAGGAGAGTGTAGTAGTCACAATTAAGTTTTGCAACAATCTTCTAATTAAATGAAATATTTGTTGAATGATTGAAATATAACGACGACAACAGAGTGTATATGATAGACGTGCTATGGCCGACTCGGTCAAAACAAGTAAATATAATTTATTAGTTACATATATGTTACTAATGTTAATGAGAAAAATATGAAAGAAGAATAAATAGAGAACTCACAATAGGTGTAATATGAATCGATTTTTCCAATTATAGAGCGAAAAGACCGGTTTTGGGACTTTTGGGAAGGAAAACGTACTGTCCCAAACCAAACGCGCCACTGAACCAGACTAAAAACAGAGCCTGAATTTACGCACGTGAATCGCACGGGCCATCTCTTACCCGTCCAGATCTCAGTTTGAAAAGCGATCGACGGTTCAGATTCACCCCGTACGCTCCCTCCTTCTCCCACCTATAAATACCAAGCTTCCTTCTTCTCCATTTCCCCTGCGCCAGCAAAGAGTTTGCAGGAAAACAGAGTGAAGAAAAAAATTCTAGCTTTTTCCATTGAGAAAAAAAGAAATTAAAAAAAATATTGGGAAATAATGCTTCTACGTAGCGCATCTACTCCGATACTGAACTCCTTGATCCCACACTCCAAAGATCCACAGCCACCGCCGGCGGAACCCGAGTTCTGCCCCCGACCTCCGATATCGAAAACCCGATCCATCACACTCACCGCCTCGCCTCCGGGTCTGGTCCGTTCGCCTTCTTCCCTGTCTTCCCACGAAGATTCCATCGGGAAGATGACGAGGGCGCTGTCGGAGACAGATCTGCGGCAGCTTTCTCCAGCCGTGCCGAAGAGGAAGCCGGCGTTGAACACGGTCCTCGTCGAGGAAGAGGAGGAAACGGAGTCGTTGGGCGGTGGTTTCTTCCTCGGATCTAATGGGTTGGGAGAGAATTGCGCTGCCGATGGTGGGTTGGCCGCGCTTTTGGTCGGCGACGGCGCAGGTGGGTGCGGCGGGAGAATCGGCGGCGGCGGTGGTGGAAGGCCCGGCGGCGGAGGGAGAGATGGAAATTCGGAGTTCTGGGATTCGAATTACAAGACGGAGGTGTATTACGAGGCGATGATCGATGCGAATCCCGGGAATTCGCTTCTTCTTGGCAATTATGCCAAGTTTCTGAAAGAGGTAATGAGTTGATTGAATTGAATCTTCAATCGGAAAGAAATGAATTTTCATTGTTTCCATTTGCTAAAAGGATTCGAATTGCTGAATGTTTTGCAGGTTCGTCAGGATTTTGTGAAGGCGGAAGAGTATTGCGGGAGAGCAATCCTGGCTAACCCTAACGACGGTGATGTTCTTTCCATGTATGCCGATTTGATATGGCGGAGCCATAAGGACTCTTCTCGAGCTGAAAGTTACTTCGATCGAGCTGTTAAAGCTGCTCCTGAAGATTGGTAAGAACAGATTGAACCCTTTTCTTGATTCTATTGTCAACAAATTGTATTGGAATCTAATCCCTAACATGGTAGGACTGCTTTAGTAATGGTGTTTCTGGTTTTCGTTTTGATGATTGACAGCTATGTTCTTGCTTCATATGCTCGTTTCCTTTGGGATTCCGAGGAGGAGGAGGAAGAAGAAGTAGAGGAAGAAACGGGAGTGGATTTGGTTCCAGAGATGAACAAATTGTCATCACCGAATTACTTCCAAGGAATTCCACCCCTCCCTCCTCCATTAACGGCTGCTTCTTGAAAAGCTTGAACCTTTTGGCAAAAAAATCTTGTAATATAGGTTTAGATTTCACAGCATCTAATTCCTAACCCCTTTCCCTTTCTGTTTATAGCCCCTTTCCCTCTTTTGTTTTAAAAGTTTTGGCTTTTCTTATTTCAATCACTACTGCTACTACTCTGTCGTTCATTGACCCATCTCTATATCTCTTGTAGAAATCATAATAAGAAATGGAATGAGTCCCTTTTTTTTGCTTACTCTGTCTCTCTTGTCTTTCTCTGTGTGTGAATGTGAATATTCCATCGACAAAGGGACAAAAAAATATCTCTTCCTGCTGCTACTGAAGTTAAAGGCCATCTCTTCGTGATGCCAAAAGCCATAGATCCTTTGTTTGTTTAAGCAGCCCCTTTTCCGTGGAGACTAATGAATGCCTTATGTGTAAGTGAATAAGTCATGGAGCTTAATGGAAGACATATTTTCCCATTGTCTTAACCTGTTCATGGCAAATTGCGAGTACTTTTAGATTGTTATCGTATCTGTGTATTTGCACTGGCCGATCATTAGGGATGGGAAAAATATCCGTAATCGTGGATATCCACCCGAATCCGCCCTAATCGGGTAGGGTAAAATCCGAACCCGAAAGACATTTAGTGGGTAAGGGTAAAACCCGAACCCGAATATTGTGGGTAATGGGTGGGCATGGATTTCTCACTATCCAACCCGAACGCGCCCGATTATACAAATGCATATGTATTTTCTCTAGATATAATCATTATTTTTCTCTAACATATTTTATATTTACCATATAAGTATAATATTTTCATGAAATTGTGTTGTTTTAATTAATTTTCTTCATTCTAGTGAACTATTGTCGTACTTTTCCTCTTACGTAATGTGAGAATTCGTGTGAATGTTAACATATTGGTTGAAGTTATGAAGAGAAATGATTACCCATGGATAACCGTGGATACCCGAAACCCGAACGGGTATGGGCATGGTTTTGATTTTCTACCCGTTTCACATGTGGGTATGGGTATGGGTAAAACCCGAACTACTTTGGTAGGGTAACGGATATGCACTATCCGCCCCCGACCCGACCCATTGCCATCCCTACCGATCATATTGGTTAAATCGTAGATCAAAATCGATGTCTTACCACCATTCATGAACATTGGTATTGATTGTTGCCCATTCCTTTTCTTATCTTGAGTGCTTTTAAAGCTGGAAGATGGTCCATACATACATGTGATTGCTGCTGTTGACAAAACCTCCTAATGTTCAGTGCACCCATCCCGCTTCCACAAGCTGCTGCTGCTGCTGCTTTTGGAGTTTTCTTCGTACCCTTTTATTTTTGGCCTGTATAGGGAAATAGGGTTCAATTATTGATGTGTCCTTTGGTAAGGCAAGTTGATTAACATGGAGCTCCATGTTGCACCTGGGTGTACCATGAATATCTCCTTATGGGAAGTTAGGATCACTTCTTTCACTGAATGGGAAAACCCATTTGTTTTCTTGCTAATTAAGATAAGTTGGATGATGAAAGATAATTGCAGCTGATTAAGAAAGGATTACAAACAATGTGCTGCTGTCTGGGTGCTCTGAACTTTTTTTTCTGCAGATCAAAGCAGCACATGTGAAATTCTTCTTGGAAATGGAGCTTTTTCATATGATCCAGAACCACCCCAGAACAGATCCAGAGACTAACCCGATCCCTAGAAACACAACCATCACAATTGCAGCCAGCTCAGACTCGGAACCTGGGACCGATTTCGGGGCAAGGATCATCAGGACACTTGTCAAGTAGCCATTCGTTACGCGGAGCATGAATGTCAGAACCACAACTGGAACTTCTGATCTCAGCCACTTGGTTGGACCATGGAGGCAGGCTGCAAACAGTGGATAGAACAGCAGCCTCAGGAAACAACCCCAGGTGGCCTTCTTGATGCTTTCCATAACATATGTTGCTGTCACGGATTTGCCTATGAAATCTGACACATTGTATATTGTTATCAACAGAACTGGATACCAGTCACTCAGCAGGTTTGACTTGACATCTTCTGCCAGGAATCCTGGGAAGATCGAGAGAGTGACGAGATAGATTGTCAGTAAACTGATAGCTGGCCGCTGGATTTTCCTCGCCACAGACCAGAATCTAGGCTTTGAATCATCGCCACCAGCAACGACATCATGCTTGTCGTGGTTGTGTTGCATAACTGGTAACTTGTACAGCAAGTTACAGAAGAAGATGCAGCAGAGGAGGATCACGGTGCTGACAATGAAGTAGAAGTGTGCACTCGTTCGGAGACCCTGAGGCGTCTGGGGAAGCATTGCCTTTGTGGTGATCCTCAGGATAGAGACAAGAACCCCTGTGACAATGCAAAATGATGATTTAGGTATAAGCAAAAGAACTTTCACTATTTTACTGTAATGTACAAATTGGTTTACCTGAAGAGGCGGTTCCTGCAAAAACTGCCTGCATGTACTGCTTGGGAAGCTTCCCAGCAGAACCAATCAAGCTACCGGCAATCAATCCATCTGCAAATCCACAAACCACAACCGATGCAACAGTCATGCCAAAGGCTCCGGTGGGCATCGAGCCATTTCTGCTGCTCCAGTCCAGAGTTGGAGCAACCATCATGGAGAGAACAAAGAGGGAGAACCCTAAGTTCATCCTCAGCCTGCAACTCATCCTGCTGCTCCAGCCACCTTGGCTCATGATCACCACCAGAACCATCACCGAAGAACTCATGTAAGCCACGGAGAAGACCCTTTCGATGTGTTTGTTCGGGTAGAGAGAGCCGAAGTAATCAATCGCTGTGATGAATGCATTCCATGGGAGCAAGTTGCCTGCACCAAGCAAGAAGTGGATTATGTAAGCAACTCTATAAGCATCTCTCGTCTCTTCGGGTGGAACAACAGCTACAATAGCTCCTTTCTCGATTTCCATTTTTCTCATCTGATCTCCAACAAACTCTTACCAGCATCATAAATAGCGCCGAGCTGGTGCTCCTATCGAAAAGGGCAGTGATGATTTTCTTGTTGGTGATTAGAAGCTGAGTTGACAGCATAAACTGAAGTTCAGAACTTCCTCTCCTCCCTCGTAAGTCTAGTTGAAGAAACTGATCCACTGGTTCATAGGTATTGATTTTGATTGATGGGGAAGTTTATGGAAACGAAAGATTGGTTCTTTTTGTAGGGACGGATAGCAGTGGATGGGCGGTGTTATAGCAGGCACCACTTGGGGAAAAAGAATCTTTGCCACCCTTAACATCGCATGAACATGGTTTCTTCTGTGCAATTGTTGGTCCGAGTCATTCTTAAACGTTGCCAGGATTAGATATTGTGCCAAAACAAGTTGGTTTCTGATATTTCTTCTGTCTGCAGGTGCTGGAATCAGAAGACAAAGTGGTGTGGAAGGAACTTGATTCTCTGTGTGTACTGTAGTATTTTGTTTTTTTCTGTGTTGGAGTTACTGAAATTGGAATGGTGTCACTTGGATGGCTGTTGTTCTTCTTCACTCTGCAGGTAATTGCTCTTCACTTCACAGTAAGCTGTTCGTTTGTTGACTTATTTACAGAACTACTAGCAACCCATCGTTGTGATGTGCCATAAAGTTCAGCCTGTGATGGGTTTAGACTTTAGATGGAATTTTGGAATCAAGAGGAAAGTGATGCTTCTATCTTGTCAGCAGCATGCTATTGGTGGGTTAATTATGGCGATTTATCACTGTTGAGGAGGGGAGTGGATGAACTGTTTTACTTTAGGGTTCTTTCAGATGTTGAAACTCAATAATGGAGGCCATAAAACACGGAGATGTGGAGGGTGGGGAATGGTAATAAGTGCTCCTGTGATCATTGTATGATTGTTGTTCATTTGGAGTGAAATATGTCACAGAACACATCAGTGAATCAAATTTCAAAGATGTGTTCTCCAAAACATCCTACCTCGTCATTCTTTTTTTTTTTTTTTAATTGTTGGGTTTCTAACAAATTCTTATATGAGCAAGTTTCGATGACGAAGTATTAGGCCCCAATGACAATTGTTGAAGAATAGAGGTTGTTTGTATTCATTAGGATGTCATTCGCATTGTATTCTTCATTAAGGTGGGAGTTACTTAAGTTCTTGTCGATTATTGGTTAAGTCGATAATAATTAATATTTTGTTGGTTTGCAACTAACTAGTCAAACAGATAATGGACTATCACACTAGAATGAAGTATGTGTAGTGCACTCACTTTTTTGGATGCATTCAGTGCACTCGCTTCATAACCGTCATTTTAAACATGAGATTTATGTCAAAATGATGCCAATCATCACTTATGATGCGATGAAGAATAACGCACATGAATTTGCACAAAAACCATTAAAGATTTACTTTAATTTGAAGAATTTAGAATTTAGAGATTTAGGGTTAGGATTAGGGTTTACAAGTTGGGGTTTAGGGATATAACTCAAAATTGGAGATCTAGAGCTTAGGGTAATCTGCTAATTAGTTATTATCATATGTTATATCATCATATTACACTAGTTCTACAAATTAAGATTCAAAATCCGACACCTTAAGACTAGTTTTTGAGTTAGGTGCATTGAACGCACTCATTTTGGTGAGTTCAGCGAAGTAGTCACCACCATACAAGAATATATTTATATTTTATGTATAAAATGGATTAAACCGATAAAGTTCCTATCGAACTAATAAATCTCAAACCTTTTGTTCACCGGCCTAAGAGGGTTACACTCGTTTATCAACCTTTGCTAGAACCCAGATTTTCTCGTAAAGACGAGATTTTGAAAGCTATTGGAAAGAAATTGGATTATGACAGAATCATCAAAAACCTTGGCTAGAACCCTTGGTTCTGATCCCTGATCAGATTGGGCTTTTACAGACTGGATGGCGGATGCACCTGTCTTCTTCGGCCTAATTACATGCCCTGATTGGGCCACAGCCCATAAATCTAATTCATTCTTTTTAGTTTTTTCCCCACCTTCGTCTCGTCTCCGGTCGCCGGCGGTAAAAAACCCCCCAAAAATTCACATCCCCCGCGCCTTCCCATCCCGCCCCCACAAAGCCGAAAAAGGAAGTGAAAGTGGAAAACCCGCGCCCTCACTAAACACTAGCTTCCAAATCGCCTTTCTTGCTCTTCCCCTCGACGGTGACCCGATGGAGAGGAACAGCGAGCCCCGCCAGCCGTACCCTGCCGGAGAAGTAGACCGAGGCGCCGGAGGCAAGTTCCGGAAGCGTCCAGCCAGGAGAGCTGCTGCTCCTGCTACGCCTTATGCTCGGCCGCAGCAGAGCTTGGCACAGCGCACGCGGCCCTGGCTCTCCAAGCTCGCTAACCTAATTTTGCCCAGCTACTTCTCCCAGTCGGCAAACGCCCTCCCAGCTCCTCCTGTTGTCGAACGGAGAGGAGAAGATGATGATGACGATGAAGAAGAATTGGATCATGGTTGGTTCTTTCTTCTTCTTTTTTTTTATCTTTCGAAGCTGAACCCTAATTCGTATTTGAATTGCTCACTTGTTCTTTCGTATTTCACTCGCCTTGGTGTTATTGATTAGGGTTATTATGATTCAATTCCGTGGCGTGCTGGGTTGTATATTGCGAGTTTATTTAATTGCAGTTTAACGCATCTTAACAGGTGAGTCCGGCAATCAGGTTGAAGAAAATGCGGGAAGGGATGAAAGCAGTTTTTCATTCAATGTGAGGCCTTTACACTGTTCATGCTTTGTTTCAGTGTTCTTAGCAGTGACCTGAGCGTTTCAACGAATTTATACTGATGTTCGGGTTTGGGCTGTTATTGCAGCATCTGGTTTCGGGATCAACTGACCTCGGTGGTGCTAATGAAGCAACCAACGAATCAAATTCTCGTCGGGAGATCGAAAGAGTTGATGAACAGCATACAGTGAAAACTTCTGATCTTGGTGGTGACGGGGTTTCGGCAATCGAGCAGTTACTGAAGAACAAAAGGTTTTCTAGGTGAAGCTCTTTTGTGGATTCATTTTCAGCCCCTTGAGATCTTCGTGCACTGTGATATGTGCATAGAATGTGGTATGGTCGATGAAGTTCAATGTGTGGTCTCCATTGCTGTGTAGGGGTGAAGTCAATCGGCTGATTGAGATAATCCATTCAAGGGCTGCTAATTCCCCGTACAAGGATCAACAGAAGCAGAATTCTGGGATGTTTGGGCGGAATGCTGAGTCTTCGGCTTTCCTTGAAGATTCACAATGGTGCAGAGAAACTGAGAAGAAGTACACGAGTTCAGTTACACAAGGCATTATCCAGCCTGCAGTTTGGGCTGAAACTTCCAGGAAGTCTACTGAAGTACAGCATGATGATATGAACAGAGCCACTTGGGGAGGTTCAACTCCTCTTATCCAGCCGACTGTGAGTGCATTATTAACAGAGAACTCATATATTCCATCTGCCACATTAAGTAATGAGTGTGTATTCTTATCCATTATGGAGCTTGCTTCTTATTATGCTTATGCATCTGCTGATCGATTTAGTTTCACAAGATTGGTTGGAGGACTAGAGTATGTGCAAGTGGAATTATCTGAAGATAGTTTGTAGGGTTCTAATCCGACTTTGAGCTATCCACTTGTTTCATATAGCATGGCAATGTATGAATATAATTTTCGCTCCTTTGGGCTTGCAGCTCATATTCTGCTCATAGTTTGTAAAAGAATAATGCTATCCAAATTTTATCTGCTTGCAGAATCATCTCTTAGTTCTGTGCATTTATGCAGGTTGAAGATGAAGTTGGTGCTTCACCAATCCAAATCGCCAAAGCGTACATGCAAAAACGGACATCAGAATCAGGATTCGGATTAGAGGATGCAGCTGTAAACGATGAAGGGCCGTCATCTCGTGGAGATGAGCTGGCACTAAAACCGTTTACCCCTTCATCTTCTATTAGGCCGTCACCATGCTGGGTACGAGGTCAGAGTGAGTATGCCACACCCCTCAGCCAAAGAGGGAGATTCGGGCTCCAAAGCTTTCCTAGGACCCCTTACTCTAGAGCTATTGCCTCAAAATCAAAATCAAAGTCTAAGGTTAGAAGTTGATTGGTAAAAGTCAATACTTTTTTTAAAGATTCTGTTGCTCATCAATGGTTGCTTCCTGCTTTAATGCCACCAGCCAATTCAATTGCAAGGGAACAGTGGAAGATCCCTGAACATGCCGTCAACTCCATTCCAGCAGTCTCAATCATCCACTTATGGACAGGTAAAGCTCTCATATTAGCATATACTTGTGATGCTGAAATGTTATGACCTTGCATTTAAAGAGAAGTTTGATCGTCGTAGTCGTTGCCTAAATTATTAGCAATGTTTTGGTTTGAATTATAGTTTAGTACCAGGGAAAGGAAGTTGGATATTGGTGAAGCATCTGTTGGACCTATCCGAAGAACAAGACGACAAGGTGCTGTAGAGCTTTCAGCTAGAGGATCTCCCTTTGCCAGGTCATCTGTGGATACTCCTAAAGTTGAAAACTACGATGTGCCAGAAGGGATATTTTCCGCCTGGAAGAAAGAATCAGAAACAGGAAGAAAACCTTACTCTGAAGTCAGTACTCCTATTTTTCCTTCACATTCTAGTCAGGTAGCTCGCAAGATATTGGAGCATCTGGACAGAAACCCAGTTACCCCAAAGCAAAAGTCTGATGAATTAAGGCTGGCTACTTCTTGGAAGAAGCCCGAGTGGTCTTCTGACATGGCTGCTTTTACACCACCCGAGAATGATAGCTTGCCTCAATTTTGGATTCTTGGTTCATCAGGAAAATCTAATCAAGCTGATAACAAAAAGAAGTCCATACATTGGAGTGAAGATAGAGGGAAGTCCCTTTTCAAGGATCCTCAGGATACCACTAGTGATTTGAACGGAAAATCCTCTGCTCCTGGCATAACAATTGGCAGTAATGTTGTTGATCCCGGGCCTTCACAAGTTCCAAGGGAAAATGTGGATTCTCAAATCTTTAAAGTGAATGAGGTATTCTATGCATCTCGTGAATACTATCCTTGAATGAAATCTCAATGAAATTGTTTCTGAGTTACTTGTTCTCTGTGTATAATCTATTAACATCACGATAGGTGCCAAGTCTACAGAGGAAACCTCCAGCACATTCGTCAGGAACTAGACAAGTTCCGCCTTCTATTGCCATTGGAAAGCGTGAACAGAAGTGGGCGTCTTCTGATGGCAGCGCGAGTTTCAGTTTCCAAGTTCCTGCATCATCTACTGGCGTGCTCACCGAGCCTCCAACGCCCTCCATGCCATCTTCCTCTGCAAACGGTCTGCATGAGCCGGAAGCTGGAGAACAGTCAATCCCTACCTACAGCTTCGGCTCAAACAAGGGCACCACCCCTGCCCTTGTTTTCTCTTTCCCTTCTACGAGCAGCAGTAGCTCCCTGCCAGATGGGGCATCCGATTTGAAATTCAAGTTCGGATCGGACAAGAGCAGTAGGGTTTCTTTCAGCTCCATAGGGAAAGACTCTGTGTGTTACTGATGAAATTGATTCGGTGTTCCTAGGACCTGTTTGGTTGTGTTATTTCCAAATTCCTTTCTTCCCTGATAGTTGAACTCTTCCAGTTTTGTGAGAAGAAACTTGAAAGGGGGTAGATGGTATCTGGATGCTTTATGGGTCATTCTTATCCTGATTTGGTGGGGGAGAAAAAGGGCTATTCTGAATGGTTCCTTGCTGCAACTCTGTTGGAGCTCTGGAGATAATAAACCAGATGAATGGAAATTTGAGTTGCTAGTTTCTCTTTTCTTGTATTATTAATTTATTATCTCAAACAATATCCATTAGAAAGAGGAATTCCATATGCGCAGGAAGCAAAAGCATGTGATTGATTGAAGCCATTTCTTGGAATCATATGTAGTAGGGTTTGGTTGGTGGCTTCCATTCCCATTATGGGGAGCACCAACTTCATACATATGGTTCTGGTTTATCTCTTTGCTTTGGATGCCCACTTGAAAGGACAGGATTGATATGGTTGCAGGAGATGGAGATGATGTTTATTCAAGCTTTGGTTGGCTTTTTACATTATATATAGATCCCACTTCAAAAGGACCATGATCATTGAGTGGATGAAAATGAGCAATCTCAGATATGATTGGAGGGGAGAAATTGCAGTGGGCTCTCTCTCTCTTTTTTTTTCTTTCTTTCTTTTCAATATGGTTTTGGTGGATTGTTGGAGAAGAGAAAGAGCCATTATAAAAGAGTAGTAGAGAGTGTGATAGGGATTGGTGAGGGAGGGAACATAAATATTACAATAGTAATAGCACTTGTTCTCAAACCTACATTGGTTTGACTGGTTTAGTTAGATTGATCTTTGATATAATAGGATAGATAAGTACCTGCTTTCATTTGTACTATGTCGTAACTTGTAAATAGGTCTCTTTTCTAGTTGAAACCCTACATGCAACTGAAAAATCTAGTGGGTGACTCACATTTTGATTGTTAATCTTTATACATGTAACATTAAAAAAAAACGTAAATAATAGAGTACATTCTTTATTAACGGAGAGCTCTCCTTACCCACAATTGCTACGTGAGTGATGTCGTAATCAAGTCAAACTCCAGGTTGCTAAGCCAAGAAAGTCGGTTAATAGAGGTGGCAATTGGATCGGATTAGTGGATTGGATTCATGGATTTGGATCGTAATTTGCCATTTGGATCCATGGATTGATCCATAAATCCACCAATCCGATTGGATTTGGATCAAATAGATTGGATTTAAATGGATTGAATTAAGTGGATAATTTGGTGGATGAATTGGATTGGATTCATGGATTTGGATCCTAATTGCCGGCTCAAGATAGGGTGCATAACCATGGGTTATGCACCTATCAATAACTAAATCTGGACCCTTTATTTAGAAAATTCAGACATAAGTAAGGAGAATTAAAGACTATTTTTATTTTTTCTAGCTTTCTTAATTGACTCATATCTTTTTCGTTTTAACTCGGATTTTTTTTTTTGCACAGATGGAACGAGTTCATCGTGCTCTACAAAATGAGATCAATTTTTAATATTTTTTTAGAAAAAATAATTCTGGCCTCTCGGTACCAACTGCATACCATATGGTATCTTCTTCGTTTTTAATTCGTTGTTGAAAAAGTTTGCACAGAAGGGACGAGTTCATCATGATCTATTGGATCTACAAATTTCTGGGTGAACAAATTACAGGACCAATAATTACCATACCATACCATACAATACCACCTTGGTACGGGGTGATATTGTATAGTATCTTCTTCGTTTTTAATTCGTTTTTGAAAACGTTTGCACAGAAGGGACGAGTTCATCATGATCTATTGGATCTACAAATTTCTGGGTGAACAAATTACAGGACCAAACAATACCACACAATACCACCCTGGTACGGGGTGGTATTGTGTGGTATACAATGTTAAAAGTCGTAAATGACAATTAATATACTTCTACTATCATGTATTCAACCATCCTACAGTCTTGGTTTGTTCATACCACCATGGTACATTTTTCAAACCATAGGTATGTTTTTATTTTAATACCAGTCAATACCATATGGTATAGACTGGTAAAAAATGGCTCAATTTTTTTTGTTCGAAAAATACATTAAAGTGGATATAATTTTGAAGAGCACAATTAATCTGATCTAACCGTGCAAAAAAAATTAAATTTCGACTTAAAATGAGTGAGAAATCGTCCGTCAAAGATTAAAGAATAGAAAATTAAAGACTTTCCAGGAGAGAGAGGATGTTGATGTCATGCTGATGTGGACGAGTTACTCATGATTACTCACCATAAGGTTACTTACGTGATCCATTCCCCTAATTGCCACCTCTATCGGTTATAGTATCGCCCGGGGAGTGGGATCTTGTAGATAACATTATGCATAATCGATACAACAACTATAAACAAGCAGTGATGTACATGATGTATGTAATTGCTATTATGTACATCTCAATGCATCACAAGACACGAAGAATGGTGTGTATGCACTTGGTTAGCCCGAGATTGTCAGCAATTAGGGTCTCAAAACTCACCATGTTAAACGTTGCCACGGATTACAATTGCAAGATCATGTGTGGTAACCTCTGTTTTCAGAACCGGATCGGAGGTTGAATCAGAAAACTTAGTGGTTTAAGGGTTCACCGGTTAACCGTTACAAAACCGTTGGTGAACCGTTGATAGAACCCCTTAATGATATATAACATATAAGACTTGTATATTACACCAATTTAAGAATCAAATTATCATTGACCATAAATAAACAAGTTCAAATTCATATCATCACGAAAATATCTAATAAATCATTCCAACCATCTCACAAAAGAAACCACATTTTTTAATTCAAATTAAAAATTACGGTTCTAGTTGGTAGTAGACAATGTAAAATCGACAATAAGGTCGAGGAAGCATATATAAAATTAATAATTATGATTTGATGGTCTTAGTTTATGTTTAATTTTTTTTTTAAATAGTGAATCAATGGACCAGTTAAAGCATGTCGGTTCATCTGATTTTATGTTGAACCGTGAAAAACCGTTTGGCCCATCAATAATCGTTCAAACAATGAACCGGACCGTTATCAGTACTAGTTTGACGATTTTACTGGGCCTGCCGTTGATCCGGTTTGGTTCTTATAACAAGGGTGGTAAGTGGTAACTAAACAATAAGCTCAAACTCCGACGCAGAAAGGGCGGGGCGGGGGATTATCGCCATTAGCGTGGGGTGTGGGGGAGAAAGTCGGAATGAAGTGACAGAGCCTATAAAAACAAACAACGCCAAATCGAAACCAAATAATAAAAAAAAGATAAAACAGAAGAAACCCATTGAGATTGAATGCGTTTCAGACAGACATGAAGTTGACGTTTCAGATTCTAAGTGTCAGAAAAGTCGTCGTCTTTTTCTTCTTTGTACGTATTGTATATTTACAATATATATATATATATATATGGTTTCTTTTCTTCGCCATGGCCAATCCATGCATATATGAATGATCCCATTAACCACCCAACCCAACAACAGCTTTTGCTGCTGTCTGCTGCACAAACCCAAGAAGCCCTAGCAAATTTTGGAGTAGCAAAGTAAGTACACACCGCATGCCCCTTCTCAACTTTCAAATCAAAAGCCCTCTTGCTTTCTTTGATTTCCTGCTGGGAATTTATTAAGATGATGTACACAAGTTTTGGCTCGATGGAATGGAATCTACCCATTGTTAATTACGTGTGTTTGTTCGGTTCATTTTAGGAGGGTTGAAAATTCTGGTTGGAAAAAAAAAACACTAAAATTTGATAGTCTAAACACATATCTTGACCTGACAGTGCGCACATAACGAGATTGAATCGAATCCGAATAAGGAAATCGTAGAGACTAGCTACGTTATGGTAGCGATTTCTCAATGTCAAGCTCTAACATCATATATATTATTCCATCTAAATTCACCATTAAAATTATGTTGGAAGCGAAGTTTAACTTCATGCATAATGATAATTTTGTACTCGCGATTGCTCCACGACATTGTGGACATACCGAGAAATTTAAGTGCTTTGCATCTTTGGAAATAGAGTCATGATCCACTCTTTTTAGGGTATGCAGCTGTTATGACTTTGAATGTGGTTTTGTAAGTTTGAAAATTGAAATTAGGGTTATAGTTTATACACATTTGATTATTCTTCCTTCGATTTACTCATTTAATACACATATAGACCACATTTCATACAAATTCGCAATCAATACGAAAAAAACAATTTCATATGTTATCCTTTCTTACGCCCCCTGCACAGCACTTGAGTCCTGGTGGGCCACACACTGTTGTTTGTGTGTGAGATGGGGATGTTAAAAGTGGGTCTCATTCGACAGGCGGGGTGGTTATTATGAACTAAGCCCGGCAGATCCTTGTGGCTGAGGGAGTGCAGTTCCCCCTAATTGATGACCCTATGATGGTTGAATTACCTGTGCTTCGGGAGGCCATCTTACTGTGTCTGGCTCATGGCTTCACGGAGATACGGTTTGAGGGGGATGCGAAAGTGGTCATTGAGAAGATCCTCCAGGCGGATACCAGGGATAATCGGATGTGAGCGATTCTTGAAGAAATTGTGCAGTATTTGGCAGTCCATACCGGGTTTAGTGTGCGATTTGTAGGTCGTCGTAACAATAGGGTAGCCCATTCGGTGGCTCGTAAAGCCTTTTCTTTGATTTTTAAACCTGACTGAATTCCAGGATGTAACTATCTTCTTTTAAATCAATATATTATTATCTTTCGTTAAAAAAAATTGCATATAAAAAGCCATAATACTCGTAAAAGCAAGAAAACAAATTATAGCATTTGCTCTTTTAGACTTTTTTCTTTTATGGGCATCTGCAAATGAACACCCCCCCCCCCCCCCCCCCCCCCACCCCACCCCACCCCAGAGAAAAGCTGATAAGCGAGGCCATGGTAAAAGTAAAACAGGAGATTTTGACCAACAAACGACTTGGAATATGGGTACAAATGTACAATTCAGATAGTTCTTTAGATTACTCCCATACTAGTCTCAAACATGAAATTCACACAAGCTCACCATATCGCCTTGTCTGTCACTCGTGGAATGACTTTGGTTCACGATTTATACTTGAACCTCTCATACCAACTCGAGTTATTGATACGAAATGATTACTGATCGACGGTAAGTAGTGACCATATATGTTGTCCATATGCCAAAAAGGCTTGGGTCACTAGCTAGCTAGTGCCCTATCTCAAATCACAATGCTCTTCTTTGTTGTAGTGATGATAATTGTGTGTATAGGGATTCTCTCTTTATATGAGACTGGCCTGGGAAATAATATATGGCTACCCCATTTGCCAGGAAGCCAAAGACATTGTTGAGTGGTCCAATATGGGATCGAGAAATTCCCTTTCAATGAGAGAAAGCTAGGGAGGGGTGGCTTTTGTTATAATGTGAGGAGGAAGTGAGTGGTAGACAGGCTAAGTCTTCAAGTTTTGCTAGATATATCATATATGTGTATATATATGCTTTTGAAAGGGAAAGAGAACACCTTTTTCATTTGGTTTCATTTCTTATTGTCATACATATAACCACTAATTACATTCCCTTTCAAAGGTGATTCTGAAGGTGGTGTGATCCGGCAACTGGACTGTAGGTCGGTGAATGTTTTGTTGGGAGGTACCCTGCTTCGAGAGTGTCATCGGTTGTTGGAGTCGTGTTCTATTTGTATCATTTTTAGGACCGTTTCGCGGCGGACTGCCAACTGAATTGTCCTTAGTGTGCCACGTAAAACTTTGTAGTTGTCCTCTTTATAGCTAGCGTGCGTCCTTTGATTTTGTTGGGTGTCTTCACTAAGTGTTGCTTTGTGTAGGTTTTGGGTAGAGGTTTCTAACCATCTTTCTCTCTGTAATGACTTCAGAAAAAATTACATTCCCTTTCCAAGGAGAAGACAAAACAAAATATTATATGTCTAACTAATGCCAAATACGACCAGAAAGTTCGTCTGCATGTTGTGCAACTGTTTCTACGAAACGATACATTATATTCTTTGTAGTTTCAGACTTCTTTTGATCATTGAATAATTAGAATTGGAATGACAAAAAAGTCTCATAATCTAATCTTCACGATGCTTAGTTTGAGCAACATGAGTTGAATAGGTAAATCTCAAAGCCAGCCTAGAATAGGGCAATTTTGCAACCTATCACTTTCTTTGTCCCCTGGTGGACATTACAATGACACACATGTATGTCGATCCAAATTAAAGGCGTAGATTGGATTTTGTGGTTCTTGTGAACTATGTTATCCCTAGACGACCAAATATAGTTGGGACCATGTCACATTATTCATATATATATATATATATATATATGGAAATTAGATTCTTGTATTATCTTTATAATTAATGTTGTCATTGTGGTCCAATCATTCATAACCAAAGTTTAAGATCTTATACAAGTCTAGATACTCATTATCCTCTCCCCAAGACAAAAATTTTGGTCTACCTATACATTATGGCATTGCCAAACACCTTCTTTGACTCTTATTAAATTTTTGGTCTAGCATTGTTCCGCTGATTATCAACGTAAACGTTACAAGCTATTCTCTTCTTCAGATATTCTATCAAAGAGCTTATTCTTGCAACCTCAAACTCTTTTTCCCCCCTCTCATGTACTTTATATGCCACAGACCAGGGGCAAACGCTTTCTTCTTGTTCTTGTGTGACATCTGATTACGTTCTAAATAATTTTGCAATAATGGAATGGTGCTATTTCTGAGAAGACATGTAAGGACCGAAAATACGAGAAAGGTATCGCACAAATATCATGCTTTTCAGAAAGAATCTCACTTAAGTTTCCGAAAGAAGCATTCGAATCATAGGATGAACTTATCCTTCCTCACAGAATTTCCTCAACATGATGAATTTGAATTATTGAGACTAACCGATTCTTCGCACACGCAATGCGATTTCATGGCCAGTGACATCGCTCCCATCGTGATCACCATCTGGCATTGTTGCGAAATCATAACAAAATGACGACGTAACGACTCTCAAGCCTCCTCTTGACCCAACTAACTCACCCTAATTTGATGAGTTGGCGTATTTAATTCCAATTGAATGCTCCAAATTTATCAATATGATATTTGTGGAGAAATTAAATCTTAGATGTAAAAAAAAAAAAAAATGAAAAATTGAAACTTGGAAGAGTTTCAGGTTGTAGCCAGCAAACAAAAACTAGCCAAGAGAAGAGATGGCTGGATGTCCAAACTCCAACGCATTCGTGCAGAACCCAGGCTGAAAATGACGGCACCGCCCGCCTGAAATTCAGTCGCTAAGCCTCACTCACTGACTCACTGTCGTCGCTGTAAATGGGAGGAACTCAAACTATATATTTAATTTACATGATATAATCATATAAATGAATACTTATCATATATGTACTTTTTGATTAAATCGATAATTGATATATTACAGTTGTCAATAGATATTGCACAATGACCAGAAACTCGATATTTTATGAGAGGAGCTCAAGAATACATGAATTTATGTTCCTTCGTGACACTTCGTTTATTTCATGTACAAATATAATCTATGAAGTATGAACAAAAGTCCGAAGTTTTGAAATTATGTGAATAGAATCATTTGATTTAGGAAATTGTGTATGCTATAACATGTGTATAATCAGCAAGTTAATTCATCGCGATTCACATATCATGTAGGAGATGCGACAGTAACTGAATTCGACTATTATATAAAGTTTGTAGATTGAACCAAAGTGCATAGTCAAATTCAATTTATTTTTTGAAGGAAAGGTTAACCAAACAATATATCCTTCTTTTTATATAATGGTGAAAGTGTGTATTTGGATAAATTTGATGGGAGAGTGAAATCAACACCTTATAGAACTATTCCTCTGATTGTTGAAGTAAATTACTAAATTGAACCACATGAATTCAGGAATAATCATGATTATAATTCCGACAACCAAACACATCCAATATTCATAGGAACATATTGCATTACTTATATGTGTACATATACTTAAAATCCAACCCACCATTATACATAATTCAACATCTTGCAAAAAGAAAGGAAGAAACAAAAGCATGCTTTGATAATTAAAAATGGAATTAGTACTTCATAATCTTATGAAAATCAAGAACAACCATGCAAGATCCATCAAGGCTCGAGCCCCTTCCTCAATTAGCATTTATCAGCCATCAATTGTGGCAAACCCCTTCACATTAACGCATTTTTTCTCTCTCAACCCTACAATATCAACCAAATCGAACATTATTAGCTTTCATGTTAGAATCGATATAGTCTATTGGTTAGGTAATCGCACCTCCATCTTATAGAACTTACATGAAACGTCGACAACGATGATTAACGGAGCTTAGTAGGTTGTTTTCTTGTTAGTCTCCAACATCAACCCAAAGTGAATGTGAGGGAAGTGTGCCCACTGTTCCATATACCAGAACAAATACGAATTAATGTCAAGCAATATTGTTATATATACGTACAAACTAGACATCCACTTAAAATCGAGTGTGTACCATGAACAAGTCAGTGTCACAATTTAACTTACATTTTTAGCGGCGGTACTAAAAGCCTCACGGTGACTGATATCCGGGTTATTGGCCTTGATCCTCTGGATCTCCTCCCTATACCAATGATAAACATATACATAGTTACATTTCACAGCTACTCATTCCTTGTTAGGTGTTCAGCAGAATTACTTCTTCTCATCTAGAAACCCTACATAAATAAATAAGTTAATAATAAATAAAAAAATTTGAGTTCCAAAGTAGCTAGCTATACGTACTTTATGAACTGGTTGTATGCAGAAGGCACTCGCTGCCGCTTCTCGGGAGCTGGAAAATCAAACAACCACCACCCACATTAACATCCTCGTTCCACCACAATCTAAGTTCGAACATCGAGATCAACATTAATCGTTCAACGAAACAACACTTACGTCGGTTGATGACTCGTTCTTCGGCTAATTTAGCCGGGGCCAACGACCTGGCCGACAACTTGTTGGGCGCCGGGTTCGATTTGCCAGAAGACGAAGACGATCCACCACCAACAGCAGCAGCATGATGATAGTTCTGGTTACTAGTAAAGGCATTCCCATTTCCATTTCCAGTTCCACCCTATCGTACGTATAATCATACCCACACAAACAACAAAAGACAACTCATACGTTAAAGAGGAAAGAGAGGGGAACATTGAAGTGACTAGAGTCTGTTACGTGCTCGATGAAATGCAATTATTACACCTATCGAATGTATGAAAGTAAGGCAGAAACCAACCAACCAAACCCTAACCAGAGAAGAAACGACGCGACACACATCTCATCACCACCAATCCCATCAAATCACGAAACTGTTTATCTCTCTCTCTCTCTCTCTCTCTCTCTCTCTCTCTCTCTTTTCAGGAAAAGAGAAAGGGCAGTAGCTAGATTTAGGGGTAGTCAACATAGGCATCTAGGGTGCTTGCTTTTAGCCGCAAAATCAGAGGGATTAGGTAATAACTAGCTAGTAGTAGCTATTAGAGCTGGCGGCTGCAGGCAGCATCTGCGACAGTCTAGAGACATTGCCCTAGTAATATAAAACATAACAACTAGCACATAATGCGAGACATAGAAAAGAAAAAAAAAGAAACCCTAGAATGGCAGAGGAGGTTGCAGCCACGCCTAGTATATATAGAGGAAGGAAGGAGAGAAAGTAGTAACCTGGTGGTGCCAGGAAGAGAGAGAGTACTGGAAGGCAGCGGCCATGTTGACGGACCAGAGGTTGGTGCAGTGCCCGCATCGGACCGTAACTATGTCCAGCAGATTGCTGCATGGAACGCTCACCTGCCAAAAAAACACCAAAAGCCAACTAATTGTCAAAGATCTCGCCTTTTAACTATTTTCTTTGATGGGTTTCATTACCCATCTGGGGAGAAGCAAAACCCATAATTTAGAACATTGAGAAGTCTAAGAATCGATTACTGGGTCGGGAGTGAGTTGAGAGGGTGGGGGGATGCTCGCTAGGTGTTCGACGAAATGTCCAAGAAAGAGAGAGAGAAGAAGAGTTCTTGGATTCTTGAATGAGGAGGGGGAAGGAAAAAAAGGACGGGACGAGATGGGGAAAGTCTCGTTGCAGCAGTTTGTGGTGCAGGCACTATGTAAATGGTGAAGGTTGAGTTGTCTTCGTCATCAATTCAAAAACACTTGCAATTTGGGAGGACGTTTTCTTTTTCTTTATTCACACAATCTATCATTATAAATCTCTCTGGGTTCATGTTTCAGACGATTACCTTGTTTCTCTCTCGCTTTTCTTTTGACTGTCAAAGAAAGAGAGGGAGAAGAAGAAGAATGGAGAGGGAAAAAAAAAGTCCAAAAGGATGTGGACTTGACTAGACTATGAGAGAAAATACAAAAACAAAGACCCAGCTGAGAAATTTTGATGGGAGAGGGCTTCTGAGTGGGATGCCTGTCACACTTCTGATCATAAAAAAAACCAGCTGAAGCTTTTATCATTCATCACCCCAGTACAATTCCACCCACCATGAAAAAAACTAAAAAATGAAAAACCATGCTTTCCTCCCTCTTTAAGATTCTCTCCAGATTTGACACAGAAGAGAAGCCACACACCACAAATTCCCATCAAGAGAAAAAGAGAAAGGAGGGAGCTTTAATTTGGTTTGCAAACAGAAATTGATCATGATTGTTGGTTGCTTAGCTCACATGCATATGTGGATCACCATTATTGTATCTTCATATCCATGAATGAAACCCCAATTTGCATGGTAGATAAGGAAATTAAGAGAAGGAAAAGGATTGTAGGTTACCGCAAGCACGATATTGCAGAAGTTGCAAGGGATGTAGCAGAGTTGCTCAGGCACCATATCTATGCAGCTAGACATGGAGATCTTCCTTCTTTCCTTAACAAGGTAAGGAGATCAACAACAAGAAGCAGAACAAGAACAAGAAGAAGGAAGGAAGGAAGAAGAGGAGGTTTAATTTGAGGAATTAGGTGGCTAGCTCTACAGCAAGCCCTTCTTTCTTCTCTCTATCTCTATCTTTCTCTCTATTTCTTCCTGTAAATGGTTAGAGCAAGGCAACTGGGATCACCAAATATATATACACATAATTATTATAATAATTACAAAACCCCCCATTTTTACATATTCTGTTCATTGCCTTTCTTTTGTTTTTCTCCTTATTGTGGGAGGAAGAAAAACAATTTCTTGCTTTTAGGAGCTCTCACTCAGCAGCCTCTAGGCTTAAATGGGTTTTGCTTTGATTTGCTTTCCTTTGGTTTACCTGACTACAGCCTATATATTTACCATTTTAACGTATCACAACAGTAGATGGACTTTTTCCTTGGGGGTATGTTTCTCCCCAACACTAATGTTATGGCACATAGATAAAGTTACATGTCAAGTGAAAAGACTAATGTAAGTAGTACTTGGGGGTGGAAAAAAAATCTACTGTTTTTGTTACCCAATGAGTTGAGAAATGAAAAAAAGGGTTTCCAGTTGAATTAGGGTTTGAGGAGAGAGCTCCCAAGTTAGGATTGATTTCAAATGACTGATTTAACATTCGATTCTGAAGCAAATGGTTCGAGTAAATTACCACTAATTACTTCTTCATTTGATATGTATCATAATCTTTGGCCACAATGTCTTGTGCTTTAATCCAGATATTTCTAATATTAATACTTAATTGATGTTCAGTTGTACGATGGGTTTATACAAATATTCAAACTCAACAAGTGTTAGTTTGATGAGATAAGTAAACAGATAATGAAAAATTAATTTTAACCACTTTCAAAGGTTAAAATTGTGTTTAGTCACTCATGTTTCCATCCCTAGCTAATGTTTTGCATATTTCAAAGAAATTGGATGAAAATGAGGAATTTTCATTCCTTCCATTTTATTTGTCAAAAGATATATCATATTACCTAGAAAACAACAAGATATATGAAAATTAATGGAAAAATCAAACGAAATCGAACCGAACTACAAAAGGGAACAAAGAAATTACTTTTATTTCCCACCAAATGGGCAATCCTATTACAACGCCAACCAACGAACTTAACCTCAAACCGCTCAAATTTTCCCACCAAATCCAAAATATCCTCAAGCACCACACCATCATGTGCATCTGACGATTGATTGTCCTTGACCTTATCCAACACCTATGTCGTCGTTGCATCATTCATAAAATTTATGGATGTGAGCCCTCTCGCCAGGCACCACCGAATCGCATCATGTAGAGCTAGCAACTTCACCAAGAAAGGACCCTTTTGAATACTCCTCACAATTGTGATTTGTTACTAATTACGGTTTTACTCTAAAGTCTCATAACTAATATAAAGTCTAATGTGTTCTAATCCTTTCACGGGTGTTATAGCTAAACTAGCTACATAAGTTGGATAGCTTCAACTTGCCAGAACTACACCTTTTCACAGCCACAAGATATTTCTCTCTCTCTCTCTCTCTCTCTCTCTCTCTCTCTCTCTCTCTCTCTCTCTCTCTCTCTCTCTCTCTTGTTTGTGTGTTTTTCGAATTTTCGATTTGTGTTAATGGAAGAGAAATAATATATGTAGAAAGATGGAAGCTTTGCAGGCACGATGATGCAGCAGAGAGTAGTGAATGTGACCACACTTTCCCCTCTCCAATTCACTTCACTTCTGCTGCGCGCCTTTGATGTAGTAGTAGTAGTACCACAGCGGACGAGGGGGGCGATCCATCCTCCATTTTCTCTAGGGTTCCAACTTTTCTTCTTGTTTTTAGCTATTAATGCTAATATAGAAACTTTAGCAAGAAACGAGGTAATTCTTAGCCATCCAGGTAACAGAAACAAATTAAAAGCGACAAACATGACTCCATCTATGGTTGAATTTCAATTACAACCATTCATTAGCAACTTTTTCTTTTTTTTTTTTATCGTAAAACATATATTTGGGGTAGTTATCATAAATGGTCACAAACCTATTCATTTTGTACAAAACGGTTACAATTCTTTAATTTTGCACGTTTCGGTAACAAAGGTTTGAGCGAATAACAAAATAGTAAATCCGTCCGATTCCGTCCAAAACTCCATCCCAGATCGCCCCGTCAGCATGACACGTCAGTGTAAATAATAATAAAAAATGACTAATCAACCTACTTAACCCGACAATCCAACCGGCCGGATTAATAGCCAACCAACTCACTTGTGGGAGAAAGCCAGAACGAAAGTGGCGAGGAGAGGGGAGACTGACGATTCTCCTGTCGTCGACTCCTTCCGCATCTTTCTTAAAAAAAAAGACTCCTTCCGCAGCTGCTCCTCCGCATCCTCCATCGTCGCCGATGGCTTGTCGAGCACCGTGGCCATCTGCTGCTTTGGCCTCGGCTTCGGGAGTATGCTCGAGCACGAGCTGAAGGAGATGCAGCCTAGCGGACCGGGATCCGCCGCGATGAGGAGCTACAGCAGCACCATCAGGAGGAAGAGGTAGCTGACGGTGCTATCTTCAGACAGCACCAGGATCGGACTCCGTCTCCGACTCGTTCGGTAGCGGCGACAGAGTAGGACGACTCCCAGAGCTGTTGCTTCCTCTAGCGGCGAGCGTGGCAATTTTGCCCCATGTCAACGAGACAGGAAAGTTGTGGAGAGACTTCGGTTGTGGTTTCACCGGTGCCACGCCATTGAAGAGAAAATAAAACCCTTCCTACAGATTCATACGCCGATATACACTGGCCGTGTTCGTACCAAAAAAGGCTCTTTACAATCTAGCGATGTACACTAATTGATTATGAACAAATAATCGGAAGATGAGGAGAAGGGGAAACCCTAAGGGGGAGAGATGTATCATCGATTTGGGGTAATAGTCCAATTCGACTCCCAATGGGTAAAGGGTTTAATCTAGGCAGTTGGATTGCCGGGTTAAGTGGGTTGATTAGCCATTTTTTATTATTATTTACACTGACGTGTCATGCTGACAGGGTGATTGGGGGCGGAGTTTTGGACGGAATTGGACGGATTTACTATTTTGTTATTCGCTCAAACGTTTTGTTACCGAAACGTGCAAAATTAAAGGATTGTGACTGTTTTGTACAAAGCAAATAGGTTTGTAACCATTTATGATAACTACCCCACATATTTGGATGTCGTGATATATGGGTTCAAGATTATTCGAGCCTTCTGAATAGTCGAAAAATTCACGTTAGGGTTAAACCCACTGATTGTATATAGGCAAAATTCTAGCTATTTCCTATATGCATGTAGCTTAAACAACATTACTCAGAGAATAACGAAATAGCAAAGTAAATAAATTGGAGCTCTGAGGATCACTCTCTTATGTTTCTAATCTATTAATTGTGTAAATACAGAGTACGGGGAATATGCTATTTATAGGAGCAGAAAATTCATGAATATTTCCTATTTCGTGTGGAATAAATCATGTCTTACTTAGAAAGATAATTACTCACGTAATTAAAATGTGTGGTAGGATAGTTATTACGTCTATCCATTATCCTCTTTAGTCTCAAGCCGACCTCAACCCTCTCACTTGCTCGCTCAGACCAGTCGCGCGGCCGGACGGTGGGTGCGCGTGTGTGGTTAGCAAGTCACTTTGGTCCTCCATCTTCAACAATCCCAAGGGCTCCACTGTTTAGAGAGAGAGTTCTCTCTTTATTTATATAACTTTTTTAATGCTTCACTCACCAATGTGGTATTGAGTTTGAGACTTCACTATAACTTCAAAGATATTCACACTAACGATCTCTCACTCGAATAGTTTTGAAACTATCTCTGTGCATCAACAGTGAACATAAGATCGAGATACACTATGGTATCTTTCGATTTAAACCTTAGCATAGTGGTTACACTTCATATTCAACAGTAGTTTCATGAATGATACCATGTGAGTTATTGAATTTCTTGAAAGGATTAGAGTCATACTCCGAGCCTCTATCACTCCTAAGTCGTTTGATTTTTCTATTGTACTAACTTTCAAATTCTACCACAAACCATTCGAACATATAAGAGCATCAGTATTGTTTTTCATCAAGTAAAAAAAAAAAGAATAATTAGAGCAATCATTTATGAACATGATAAAGTATCTCTTTTCATTCCTAGTTAATGTCTCATATAGTTCACAAATATTAGAATGAATCATATAAAGGGTTCTGATTCTCTAAACACATATTTATGGGGTGTTTTCATTATTTTAGCTTGACTACAAAAATCATGTTTATCAAATTCATCCAAAGAGGGTTTAAGGATGTGTCCTAAGTTTCTCAAGCTCTTCACAATTAGTTTATTCACATGACAAAGACGAGTATGCCAAACATTTAAATCGCACAACATGTAAACATAAGAATTCATCTTATTAACTTCAACATTCAACTTGAACATCTCATCACATGCATATCTTTTTCTCCCAAATTTCTCATTCTTAGTAAGGATATACAAATCATCCCTCATAGCTTGATGAAATCCAACCTTATTAAGAAAATAACCTGAAACAAGATTCTTCTTTATTTGTAGAGTGTGCAAATCATCCACCAACGTTAGTGTCTTGTGAGAAATAAAGTTCAGTTCCACATTTCGAGAATCAACAACTATAATGGTGTGAGCAGTTCCCAACAACACTTTCTTATCAGTAGACACCTATGTATATGTCTTTAACATAGGACGATCATTTCATACATTCTTCGAGGTACCAGTGTCCAACCACCATTCTTCTGAGTTACCGGTGTGGATAACTTCAGTTATCATTTCTTTGATCATAGCCACTAAATCATTTTCTCCAGTCAAGTTAACACCGAGACCAGAGTTAACCTTGTTCATACACGATTCATGTCATATGACCAGGTTTCCCACAATTATAGCATAGAAACGAAGTGTCATTCTTAAAAGATTGGCTCACGGCCTT